TTAGCATGTGATTTGAACAGGAATGTAATTTGTGTCCAAATTGCATGCGGTTTCCCCACTGCTCCTGTGTGAAGCCAGGCTTGTCATAGCCCAAGTTCACACAGGAAAAACTCCCTGCAGGCATCCTATGCTGAGTCTCAATGGTAGGAGAGGAGAGAAAGCGGCGGGAATTTGAAATCTCAGCTGCTTTCTCTCCACTCTATGCAGAGATGACAATTCGAGATAGACAGCATCTGTCAATATATTACTCAAACTGCATATATGTACCTCATCCCTAATATATCATAGCAAAAGGAACAAAAACTAATGGGACTTTATTGGTACAAAAAGCGGACAACCTCAAATTCATATATAAAACATATTTATTGAAACACATCTTGCATAGGCTACATATAAAAGCAATACTTGACTAGTAAGCCCAAAAACAGCAGCATCATGTATATGTGACATCTATGTACTCCAGAGGTCGACATGTTTCGCCTATTAGCTTCTTCAGGAGCCCTAAAGCTGGAGACAGCATCTGATTGGTCAGCACCTTCCATGTGACGGTGCTGACTAATCAAAAGTCCTCTAGCCCAAACTATCATCCCTGCAAGGAGAGGAAAGAAAGCAGCGGGGATTTCAAATCCCTGCCGCTTTCTCTCCTCTCCTACCACTGACACTCAGCATGGGATGCCTGCAAGGAGGTTTCCCGCACTTCTCCCATGTTATGACAAGCCTGGCTTCACACAGGAACAGTGGGGAGACTGCATGGGATTTGGACAGGGGCGGACTGACAACTCATGGGGCCCCCGGGCAATAGGGGATCATGGGGCCCCTGTGTCCTTGCACAAACTCAAAAAAGCCTATGAAAAAGGTACCAGGGGCATCTCATGGGGCCCCCTACTGACCCGGCCCCTCAGGCAGTGCCTGAGTTTCCAAATGGTCAGTCCGCCCCTGGATTTGGACAAGAATCGCAGTCCTGTTCAAATCATATGCTATTCTATCTATTGACGCAAATCACAATGCGAAGTATCGGTAATCGGTATTTGTCCGGAGTATCGGTGCTCGAACTTGCCAATAAAAAAACAGTGTTGGTGTATCCCTAGTTTACACAACATCTCTAAGCTTCCAGAGGCAAGAGGCGGGAATCTGACATCACACACTACACAGCATAAAGCAGGAAGCTGAGTGTAATCTGAGACCAGAGTAAAGGTAAAGGACACACCCCCTCTACACAGTCTCCTAGGAAACAGGCACATCTGAGGCTGTCAATCACCTACTGTGTGTTGGGGGGGGGCAGGAACATACCTTGGGATCCCTTGTTGGCATAGACTGTCAGAAGTGACTCATGCAAATAGCAGAGGAAGAAGGCAGCAGACAGAGCTCACACTAGGTGCTTTGGATTGAGGCAAAAACACATTATGGAGGGATATGCTTTGTCCATTTTTCAGTTTAGAGGTTTACAACCCCTTCAAGAGAACCACCTGTAAACATAAAAATGTAAATCTTGCACATCATGATAACATTTCTATAGTCCATATGGGAGCATTACAAAACAAAGGAAAGGTTGCAGAAAAAAAAAAAGAAAATATTTCATAGGCTGGCAGTAATAAATGCTTGAAATTTTTTTTTTTTCTGCTGAGTTACTTCCGAAATAACACTGACATGTTTATACTCTGCACTGCATTGGCTCTGCCTGTATTTTAATCTGGTATTGTGAGTATAAAGTTACTGGCCACTCTGGCTGTTTATCAATTCACAGCATTGCGTTCCCTGTTGGCCCTCTCATGACTCCTCATTCGAAAAGATGAGAAAATGATTTCACAGCAGCAAATCCCATCTGCGTTCCAGAAAAGCTGATGGTGCACAAAATGTAAATCTGAGTGTTCTGTGCCCACCTTTATCAATGAATCATATTTGTATCAGGTACCAGAAAGGTCATTAGTCTGCCGGAGAAAGAGAATGCCTTCCAGACTTTCATTTCTTGGCATGACATAAGCATTCACTTTGTCAGATTTGGCCTTTACTGGGAGAGACTTGACCTACCGGAAAACAGGCAGTTCAATCAGCGCAATGCAAAGAAACGAGTGACGGACAGGTGTGCAAGTTTTTCCTGGCATTTTGTTACTGCTGCATTCAGTCTTTTTTTTAAGTTGCAGGTACTATAACAAAATTGAAACTGTAATTACGGCTGTTTCATGAGATTGTGCTGTTTTTTGAAGCCCAGAAAACAGCCACTTTATTTTGGCCTCATTTACTTAGTTCTCAAAAGTATTTTGGCTTAAAGTGGTATTAAACCCAAAATCAAAAATGTAGCGCGGGAGCGCGGGGGAATGCAGTTCCGGCACTTCCAGCACTGAATGACTGTAATGGCAAGGGGTACAGGGGTGAGCTGGAGGATCTATTGCTGCTAGCTGCTTGGGGACCTATTGTCACTGAAGGGGATCTATTTTTGTGTGGTGGTCTATTGTTGCTGGTGTGGGATCTATTGTAGATTGGGTCATTTGTGGCTGGAAGGGCTATACTGTGCACTGTGGCTTGGGCAGCACAGTGGCTAAATGGTAAGCACTTCCGCCTGGCAGTACTTGGGTCGCTGGTTCAAATCCAGCCATGGCATCTCCTGCCTGGAGTTTGCATGTTCTCCCTGTACCTACATGGGTTTCCTCCGGCTACTCCAGTTTCCTCCCACACTCCAAAGACATGCTGGTAGGTTAATGGGATCCTGTCTAAATTGGCCCTAGTATGTGTATGTATGAATGTGAGTTAGGGGCCTTAGATTGTACACCTCTTGAGGGTTAGGGACTGATGTGAATGTTATTTAATTTATTTTTAATATTCAAAGCAAACTCACCCATCCACCCATGTATTGTAAACTATTACCATGTTTTTTTTTTCTTTTTAGAAAATACTGCTAAAGAGATAGCACAACAGTAGCTATTTCTTTTCCATCTTGCTCCTTCTTGTTGAAACTTTAACAGGAGAACACCAATAAGAGTCATGACTCATTCAGTTTATTCTTTCAGCTTGAGCTTTTGATCTCTGTAGACAAAACGCTATTGAAAACACCATGGCTATGAGAAGATGTACAGCTTGTGACCATAAACCTAGAGCACCTGGCATCTACAGTATCTCCCAGAAGTGAGTACACCCCTCACATTTTTGTAAATATTTGATTCTATCTTTTCATGTGACAACACTAAAGAAATGATACTTTGCTACAATGTGATGTAGTCAGTGTACAGCTTGTATAACATGTACATTTGCTGTCCCCTCAAAATAACTCAACACACCGCCATTAATGTCTAAACCGCTGGCAACAAAAGTGAGTCCACCCCTAAGTGAAAATGTCCAAATTTGGCCCAATTAGCCATTTTCCCTCCCCGATGTCATGTGACACGTTAGTGTTACAAGGTCTCAGGTGTGAATAGGGAGCAGATGTGTTACATTTGGTGTTATCGCTCTCACTCTCTCATACTGGTCACTGGAAGTTCAACATGGCACCTCATGGCAAAGAACTCTCTGAGGATCTGAAAAAAAGAATTGTTGCTCTACATAAAGATGGCCTAGGCTATAAGAAGATTGCCAAGAACCTGAAACTGAGCTACAGCATGGTGGCCAAGCCCATAATTAAACAAATTAAGAGGATTGTGTTTTCCCTTTAATTGGGATTATCCAGTGAGTGGTATGCCCATTGTGCTCAGAAATCATCATCAAATTATTTCCAACACTTTTACTTTGTCAAGCATTTGTTTTTTTTATTTGTGTGTATTCTATGGGTGGTGTTTGGCATTGTTCATGCTAGTCATTCCAGGATTTTTCATTGCTTTACTCTTTTCTTATGCCCCACAAATTACTGATCATGAAATATAAGCTCTTACACTCTAAGGTCACTTTTGCTGTACTCTTCCCTACCCTATTACAAACTTTTGAGAGTAGAAGGCTCCCCAGGGCAACCTCACAATGTATATTTCCCCATTTCTGATGCACTATACTCTTTGTGGGATTCTCTAACATGAGGAAGCAAAGCCCTGCCTCTACCAAGATGGCAGCCTCCACACTGAGGCATGGTGCAGAACTAAAGATGATTTTTTCTTTATATTTTGGATACAGTAAAGAAGAGTTATAACCCCTGTTGATTCTTTTGCCATCTGTGTCCCATTGGGATGATTTCCCTTCCCTTCCTGTCCCATAGCCACAAACTGAAGTGAGGGAATATTTGGTTGTCACCAGGGTCACCAGAACTAGTGTTCCTCCTGGAAGATTTCCCCTCTATTACTGTTCTGAGGACAGCTACAAATGTGGGATTTTCTTTCACTTTCAGTAATAATGGTTAACATGACAATTTGTGACTGTCCTTAATTGGGGCACAGAGAGCAGTAAAATCAAGAAAAGGGCCTCCAATCCCAGAGTTTTGCCTTAAGTTATACTTTAAAGCATTAATAAAAATTGCTGCTCCCCTAAGCTTTTTTTCAGAGCACTCCCCAGTTCCCTAGGCCATTTGTATGATAATCCCTTGCCTAATCCCAGCCTAGAAAATGGCCATTACTAATTTTTAACTACTTGGCAGCCAAGACCATTTTAAAATTTTTCATACACTTGTTAAAACCATCCTTTTTTAGAAAACGACTTAGAACCTAAAATGTTATATACAAGGATTATACCAAAAATAATGTAAAAGTGGACATAACTTTTTATTAATTTACATAGGTTGTTCGAATTTCACGTGTTGGTAGAGTAAATCTTCCTCCATAGCAGTTTGTCTTCTTTTTCTCTTTCATTGAAGGTAATTAATGGATTCCAAGCAGAAGCCATCACAGAATTCTTGACGAAGAAGGGGTGCAGGCTGTCCAACTTCTACAGAAGGCTACTGAATGTTTATTGAGATGACCCCATTGATGAGAGCAATATCTTGTCATTTGTGCCTCTTGACAATGGTGTCTTCTCTGTGAACATTCTGTAGCTTTCTGTGGATGTTGGACAGACTGAACCCCTCCATACCAGGGGCGGACTGACAACTCATGGGGCCCCCGGGCAATACGGGATCATGGGGCCCCTGTGTCCTTGCCCAAACTCAAAAAAGCCTATGAAAAAGGTACCAGGGGCATCTCATGGGGCCCCCTACTGACCCCGGGCACTCGGGCAGTGCCGAGTTTCCAAATGGTCAGTCCGCCCCTGCTCCATACTCAACAACTCAATGACAGCACTTTGCTTCCACTTGAAATCCATAATTTACCTGCAAAAGGATAAAAAGAAGAGTTACTATAGAGGAAGAGTTACTCTACCAACATGTGAAATTTTAATGACCTATCCAAGTTAATATAAAAGATACACTCACCGGCCACGTTATTAGGTACACCTTGCTAGTATTGGGTTAGACCACTTTTGCCTTCAGAACTGCCTTAATTCTTCGTGGCATAGATTCAACAAGGTATTGGAAACATTCCTCAGAGATTTTGGTCCATACTGACATTAGTTACTGTTGCATTTCTATCATGTTGAACCAGTCTGCCCATTCTCCTCTGACCTCTGACATCAACAAGGCATTTTCATCCACACAACTGCCACTCACTGGATATTTTCTCTTTTTTGGACCATTCTCTGTAAACCCTAGAGATGGTTTCTGTGTGAAAATCCCAGTAGATCAGCAGTTTTTGAAATACTCAGACCAGCCCGTCTGGAACCAACAACCATGCCACGTTCAAATTCAATTAAATCCCCTTTCTTCCCCATTTTGATGCTTGGTTTGCACTTCAGCAAGTCGTCTTCACCACGTCTAGTTGCCTAAATGAATTGAGTTGCCATGTGATTGGCTTATTAGCAATTTGTGTTACCAAGCAATTGAACAGGTGTATCTCATAAAGTGGCCGGTGAGTGTATTTGTTTTATGTTTTGTCTGTATATGTATGCAAAATGAACCTAATAAAGGTATTTGATTAAAAAAATAATAATTGCAGCCGAACCCCAGCTAATACTTTAGATGCAGTTACATCAAACAGTTTTTTCCTTTTGAGATAAAGGTTTTACATAAATAATGCTGATCATTGTAAGCACCCCTGTCAGTGGAAAATGATTTGTCTCATTCCAGTAATTGCAAGAGAGCTTGTTTTAAAAAAAAAAACAAAACAAAAAAACAACAAGCTCACTGGCTAGACCATCAGGTGAAAATAGAAGAAAAAACCCTAACAGAGAAAGCTAATGCAGCCCCCACATCTAAGAATTGGTAAGCTAAATTATGATATACTGTATGTTTGTTTTTGAGTTTAATACTACTTAATGCACTGGGAAACCTAAACACTCAACTGTATCTAAGCATCACAAACTGAAAATGGTATTTAATTTATTTTTAATATTCAGATCAAACTCGCCCATCCACCCATGTATTGTAAACCATTGCCATGTTTTTTTTTTTTTCCTGTTAGAAAATACTGCTAAAGAGATAGCACAACAGTAGCTATTTCTTTTCCATCTGGCTCCTTCTTGTTGAAACTTTAACAGGAGAACACCGATAAGAGTCATGACTCATTCAGTTTATTCTTTCAGCTTGAGCTTTTGATCTCTGTAGACAACACGCTATTGAAAACACCATGGCTATGAGAAAATGTACAGCTTGTGACTAGAAACCTAGAGCACCTGGCATCTACAGTATCTCCCAGAAGTGAGTCCACCCTCACATGTTTGTAAATATTTAATTCTATTTTTTTTCATGTGACAACACTGAAGAAATGATACTTTGCTACAATGTAATGTAGTCGGTGTACAGCTTGTATAACATGTAAATTTGCTGTCCCCTCAGCTTTTGATCTCTGTAGACAACATTGTATTATTATTATTATACAGGCAGGGGCGGACTGACCATTCGGGAACTCGGGCACCGCCCGAGGGTCCGGGGTCAGTAGGGGGCACCATGAGATGCCCCTGGTACCTTTAATAGGCTTTTTTGGGTGTGGTTTGATTGTGGGTGAGGACACAGGGGCCCCATGATCCTCTATTGCCGGGGGCCCCATGAGTTGTCAGTCCGCCCCTGTATACAGGATTTATATAGAGCCAACAGTTTGCTTAGCGCTTTACAATATAACGGGAGACAATACAGCAACAATACAGTTCAATACAAGATGGTTAGGAAGGGCCTGCTCCTTGGAGCTTACAATCTAGGCTCTATATATACACTGCATGTTGAAATTATTACAAAATATATGAAAAATATTTAAAAAATATATATTTTTTAAATATAGTCTTCAGATTTTTTTTAACATATAAAAAAGTAATTTTAACATTTATTTTTACATATACTTGTAAATGCATTCCAAAAATGTAGATTAAATGTATTTTTAAAGACATACAGTATATATGAAAATGTATTTTTAAAAATATTTTTCATATATTTTGTAATAAAAACACATTTCAACATACAGTGTATATATATATATATATATATATATATATATATATAGAATATGGTCAAAATTGTAGTATTTCAAATATATGTCAATATATTTGGGAAGAATATTTTTTTAAAATATATTTCAAAATATATTTTTCTTCCATGTGGGTATGCATATACCATACCTGTGGGATCCCACTTGAAGCTGGAAATCACTGTAGTAGGCACCTTTCATCCAGTGACCTCACCTAGTTTCCAGGTCTCGTGCTGATTGGCTGCCCTACTGCATTGTGATCACAAAAGATTGGCAGCTCGGATGGATGCCAATACAAGAGGGTCAGCTCCTCGGAGCTTACAATCTAAGAGATCTGAACATGTATTGAACAGGTGTACCTAATAAAGAGGCCAGTGAGTGTATGCACACTTTGGGGGTTCTAGGTAATTGTCTAGCAAATAATTCTAGTTTTAACATGTGTGAAAACTTTTTAAAAAACTAAAGATACACTAAAACATTCATTAGGCTCTCACTGATTTTAGTGGGGTTCAGATTTGCCACCTAAACTTTAGTTTGTTTTGTATACTCACCTTAAACCAAACCCAGGTGCATTTGGCTTTTCCCTCTTTATGAACAGTATGTCTGTGTTTATAGAAAATATTATTTAGAAACGGAATAAAGCTTTTTATTTTAAACAACTTAATCACAGCTCTTGTCACATTAGAATTTGTTTGAAATTTGACAATAGCAGTTGATGCTTTGTGATTTCTTTGCTGCCTCTGATTATAGAGAGTTATTGGATGAATCATAAATTACAGTTAAGCAGTGTAAATGAACAATCATGATGTTATCCAATGCCTGAGCATGCTACCGACTCTCTATTAACAATGTGTTCACTTTTCTCTCCAAATAAGATCTCATCTGGGTAAAAGCAAAAACATTGTTACTTAGCTGTGAGGTTACTTTCATTATTAATATGAAAAATCTGACAAGAATATTATCTGCTGGTTATTTAGATGAAATGCTTAGTGGCACGCACATGCAAGGCTGGGTGCTTAGTGCTGAGCAGCTCTGGCATACAGAGCATGCTAGTAAACATCACAAGGCCAAGGTTGGCCAAACATGTACTGTATTGGCACCAATAAAAACCATTGTGGAAGTTTAATATGTGTACAGGCTACAGAAGAGTCACTACTGGTAGCAAGGTCAGTGTCACTACTGGTAGCATGAGGCCATACCTGTACCCTACAGAGGTTGCCTCCAGGATGGCACATCAATACGTGCCATTGCCAGAAGGTTTATTTGTCTCCCAGCACAGTCTCAAGAGCATGGAGAAGATTCCAGGAGACAGGCAGTTACTCTAGGAGAGATGGACAGGGCTATAGAAGGTCCATAACCCATCAGCAGGACCGGTATCTGCTCCTTTATGCAAAGAGGAACAGGATGAGCACTGCCAGAGCCCTACAAAATGACCTCCAGCAGGCTACTGGTGTGAATGTCTCTGACCAAACAATCAGAAATAGATTTCATGAGGGTGGCCTGAGGGCCCAATGTCCTCTAGTGGGTCCTGTGCTCACTGCACCATAGAGCTCGATTGGCATTATTGTCAGACCCTACGCTGGTGCAGTGGGTCCTGGGTTCCTCCTGGTGCACAAAAATGCCCAGCCTCATGTGGCAGGAGTATGCAGGCAGGAGGATGAAAGAATTGATACCACTGAATGGCCCCCACGCTCGCCTGACCTAAATCCAATAGAACACCTCTAAGATATCATGTTTCAGCCTATCCGATGCCGCCAGGTTGCACCTCAGACTGTCCAGGAGCTCAGTGATGCCCTGGTCCAATCTGGGAGGAAATACCCCAGGACACCATTCATCGTCTCATTAGGAGCATGCCCCGACATTGTCGACATACAAGCACATGGGGGCCATACAAACTACTGAGTGTCATTTGAGTTGCTGCAATGAAATTTCAGCAAAATGGACTAGCCTTCTGAATAATTTTTTCACTTTAATTTTCGGGGTGTCTGTGAATTCAGTCCTCTGTAGGTTGATATTTTTCATTTACTTCAAATGATGGGGTGTCCTTACGTTCCTAACACATTACCCAGTTCATATCAGTATAGAGATCCAGCATGATATTTTTCCCCATTGAGATCTGATGTATTTTCAAAATTTTCCTTTAATTTTTTTGATCAGTATATATATATAACTACAAATGTATTATCCTCCATTTCTTAACACCAGTAATGTCACTGACCACTATGAGCCAAGGAAAATGGGATGTCATTGTATTGTATAATGTCACTATAAGGATGTGTAGTATAGTGCAAGCATCACTTATTCACAGAGGTGGGGAAAACAGAGCCAAGCATTCTCTCATCTTATTTTTTTTATTTCTCATTATATGATTTTCTTCTTCCGTGTCTTTGTGTGCTTCTTTTTTTGTTCTATCATCACATCACCAGTTTTCATCAACATCCAATACATACACCTGTATTGTTTCTATTCATGGATGATGATCCATGAATAGAAACAATATACTAATATAAACTCATGCTAGGCCCTGTTTTCCCTGCCTCTGGGCACAGAATTCAAAAAATATTAAATTTCTAATAAAAAAATATCATATGCAATCACCAGTATGAATATGTAAAACCTAGACAAGGGACAGGCTATGGATATACTTTACTAAAGTGTTTGATACAGTTGCACATAGTAGGCTATTGTGTATGCCAAGGTCTTTAGGCCTATAAAATTCTGTTTGTAATGGATGAAAAAACTGGTTTATTGACCTGAGTAGTGATTAATAAATCATACCCTGAATGGTTTATGGTTGTACGCCAAGTAGATTGGGTTAGGACTTCCAGGGGAGGAACCTGAACAAAGATGGCCATGTTTTACAAGGGCTTCATTCATCCTCAAAATAATTGCAGGTTGCTCCATGATTTAACCTATAGATATGTTGACCTCCATGATTTAACCTTCCATACACCTTAGACTTCGGGACCATTACTCCAAATGCTCCACCATGTATCCCTCTGACTTGCAATTCTTATGAGATTGGGTGTTGCCATGCAAGAATCTTGTGCAGGCTTGGTGGTGTGCGATCTGGAACCCAAGAGACACCTCTAATATGCTACTTCACAGTTAATCTTGTGTCCTCTTTAAAAACATGAAACGTGTGCAACTTAACATGGAGAAAGCACACTGTTTCGGACCAAAAAAGACAGGAATCCAACCAGGGGTGGACTGACAACTCATGGGGCCCCCGGGCAATGGGGGATCATGGGGCCCCTGTGTCCTCGCCCACACTCAAACCACACCCAAAAAAGCCTATGAAAGGTACCAGGGGCATCTCATGGGGCCCCCTACTGACCCCAGGCCCTCGGGCAGTGCCCGAGTGCTTGAATGGTCAGTCCGCCCCTGGATCCAACAGGCCTAGACTAGTGATAGCTAAATACTTCCACTATGCTGACAAAACTACAATTTTAAATGCATGCAGAAAGAAAAATAAAATCCACATAGCCACACAGATAGCAACCGAATATTGATCTCTCAAGACTTTTCTGCCTCTGTTACTAAAAAAAAAATGCAAAGAATTTCTACTTATTGGTGAAAAAGCTCTCAGAAAACAATGTCAGATTCTTCTTCTTGTACTCTGCAAAATTGTGCCTGTTTTGGACTGGCAAGAACAAATTGTTTGAAGAACCACAAATAGCTACCCATCAATTACAAATGGATTTCTCACCTAAAAGTTTTATTGACTTTTTAACCCTGCCTTGATGGCATACCTCGTTATCTCTAGCTAAAAACTTCTTTCATTCCTATAAATGACGACCTTTTTCGTCTTCAAGAGACACGGCTTCATTTATCTAAGTCTCACTTTTGTTGCTGTGTACCATGTTCTTACTTATTTTATGTTTTTTAAGCAATTGTTTATTTTGATGAACTTTAAAAGAAAATAAAAACAGAGAATGCTCTAGTCACTTGAAATGTGGGGTACAAGGGGTGGTGGTTGGTCAGTCTAGAAAAATGTCTGCTTGAAGCTCTTTTCATTGTGAGGATGACAGTAGCTCATTGGGATGGCCATCCACACCCATCAGGAAAGCATTGTCTTGCTTTCTTCTCTGCCACCCTATTTATTTGTCACCTGAACACCTAATATTTCAACCCCAACCCTGGGGTTGGGGACATACCCCGAAAGCTTGTCCTCAAAATTGTATGTTAGTGCAAATAAAAAAAGTATCACGGACAGTACTCATTTGTTTCAACCCCAACCCTGAAAAGCATAATCGTAAAATTATTTCTGGAGGGATCTTAAATCCTTCCATGCCTCTCTGCCCCAATGAAACACTAATTAGAATATCTATGCTGGTCCCGTAGAGCAGATTATGTATGGTGGATACATTTGCCTTTTTGAAAAATTTGCTAATCTCTATTCATCTCCAGAATTGTTCTAATTTGTACTGTGGTTTTATATATTTGTAAAACTCGTTAAACAGTATTATGAAAAAGAAAAAATCCTTGAAAAAAGTTGGGCCTCAATACTCAAGTTAAAAGAAAAAAATGTTCTCTAACATCTAAATACATTTAAAATTAGATATAATTTGTTTACAAGAGACCAACTTGAAAGTGAACCAACCTAACCAGTTGAAAGATATTTGAAGTTCAGTGACGTTGCCACTTCCTATAAAATAAAGAAAAGTGGTGTTGCAGAACTTCTCAATAAATGTTTTCCATATGAAATTCTGAACACTGTTCTTGACCAAGAAAGCAGGTATATAACACTAGATAGAGATGCACAGCAAAAAAATGTGTTTCGTATCATAGTAATTTGTTTTTTTTGGTTCGTTGTATTCATTATGTTAGAATGGTTTGTTTTCTGAATTTGCTTTTGTATTCGGATTTGTTTTGTATATTCATTATTCCAGGAAGTCTCCAAGATCCTCTCTGATGCCCGCCTCACCACCTGCCCCCTCGACCCTATCCCCTCACAACTCCTACGACCTTCCTCCTCCTCCATCCTACGCTCCCTCACCCACATCTTCAATCTCTCCCTCTATTCAGGCACTTTCCCCTCCCCTCTGAAACATGCACACATCACCCCCATACTTAAAAAGCCCTCCCTGGACCCCAATGACCCGAACAACCTCAGACCCATCTCCCTGCTCCCATTTACATCTAAACTCCTCTAAACTCCTCGAGCGCCTAGTCTACACCCGCCTATGCTCTCACCTCAACGACAACAACCTCCTCGATCCCCTACAGTCCGGCTTCCGTCCCCTACCCTCCACCGAAACTGCCTTACTCAAACTCTCCAACGACCTGCTAACCGCCAAAGCTAATGGCCACTATTCAGTGCTCCTACTCCTTGACCTCTCTGCGGCCTTCGACACAGTCGACCACCCCTTCCTCCTCAAAAAACTACACTTCCTCGGCCTCAGAGATTCTGTTCTCTCCTGGCTCTCATCCTACCTGTCACAACGCTCCTTCAGCGTTACCTATAATGCTACCACCTCCCCCTCACTCCCCCTCTCTGTTGGGGTCCCTCAAGCCTCTGTCCTCGGGCCCCTTCTCTTCTCCATCTATACCTCCACCCTTGGCCAACTCATACACTCTCACGGCTTCAACTACCACCTCTATGCCGACGACACACAAATCTATCTCTCAACCCCCCACCTCACCCCCTTGGTCTCAGCCCGAATCACACACCTACTGAGCGACATATCAGACTGGATGTCGCTCCATTTCCTTAAATTGAACCTCTCCAAAACCGAGTTTCTTGTCTTCCCCCCAGCCCGGACACCACCCCCCATTGATTTCTCCGTCACGTCCAACAACGCTACCATCAAACCCGCCCTGCAGGCCAGAGTACTGGGTGTCATTCTGGACTCCAACCTATCCTTCCAGCCCCAAGTCCAATCTTTAACAAACTCGTGCAGACCTCCACCTCCGCAGAAACATCGCCAAATTGTTTGCAATTTGTTTGGGAGACTCATTTTGATGAGAGTGTTACAGAGTGTGATACACATATTATTGAACTTACAAAACTCTCTGAAGTCGCAAACTAAATGAAACAAATAATTGTTTTCATTTATAATTTATTTATAACGAATTTATTGGTTTTGTTTGAATTAATTTTAGATTAGTAGAAATTCATTGCTATTCTGTTTTGGAACTTCTGATACATCAGAATCTCTGAATAATGAAAAAATGTGAGAGGTCCGCATTTTCGATTCGTAATGAAACCAATTATACTTATTTAAAGTGTTTTACTAAACCCAGGCACCCTGCATTCACTATATCAGGTCTCCCAGGACCCTGCATTCACTATATCAGGTCTCCCAGGACCCTGCATTCACTATATCTGGTCTCCCCGGACTCTGCATTCACTATATCCGGTCTCCCCAGATCCTGCATTCACTATATCTGGTCTCCCCGGACCCTGCATTCACTATATCAGGTTTCCCAGGACCCTGCATTCACTATATCAGGTCTCCCAGGACCCTGCATTCACTATATCAGGTCTCCCAGGACCCTGCATTCACTATATCTGGTCTCCCAGGACCCTGCATTCACTATATCAGGTCTCCCAGGACCCTGCATTCACTATATCAGGTCTCCCAGGACCCTGCATTCACTATATCTGGTCTCCCCAGAGCCTGCATTCACTATATCTGGTCTCCCACAATACACACAACATGAAAATGCAATTATTGTAGTAAATATAAATGGCTAAATACCTTTTCTCATCAGAAGTTAGAGCAGTCTTGTGACTTCTATCAGTGTCTGGCAGAGCACTGGTTAAAAATTGTAGGAGAAATTTTAATTTTGCTCTAGCGAGATGCAGAACCCTTGACCTTTGTCTGGACAGTGCTGACTGGCCCTGTGCTGATCACATGCACTCTCCCAAGAAAAAAAAAAAAAACCTCTTTAGCAATACACACCAAACTGAGGATGTGCATAGTGTCTCCACACAATATATCTTTAGCAGGAGATAAGAGGGGGGCACTGGAAGAAGTCGAGGATTGGAGAAGACAGGATCAAACATCATTTTTACACAATGCAGAGGATTAACCCCTTAGGTTCCACAGTGAGTATAACAAGCATGCTTTACTGCATATATAGGCTGATTTTATTGCTGGGGGTTTAGCACTTTAATACTAGAACTGTATATAGCTGGAGAACCCTTTTCTCTTTTCAATATATATATATATATGCATCTAAAAGTTCCTTCCCCTGTCTTTGCTCATCTCACCCAACTTCCCTCAATTGAAGAATATTCCAACTTAGTGGCACCTGCTGACTTCAATACTATGCTAAAGCCTTCAATTCATCCTTCAAATCCATCCATTACATACACCCCAATGCAAATGAGGACATGCAATGCCTTCTTACAAATACTATGGTAGTTGATGTCTGGAGACTACTCCACACAACAGAACAATTATTATACGTGTTAAGCCTCATGCATTCATGCATACTGCAGCTAACAATAGCCTGTTTTAATAGTTTTCGACTTTTTTTTTCTGCCCCTAAATGCCACTTTATGCTAGCCTGTGGGGTTGATTTATGAAAACTGGTGAATGAAAAATCTGGTGCAGCTCTGCATAAAAACCAATCAGCTTCCAGGTTTTATTGTCAAAGCTTCAATGAACAAGCTGAAGTTAGAGGCTGATTGCCATGCACAGTCTGAATTTTGCACTCTCTAGTTTTAGTAAATCAACCCCTATGTGTCCATTTACACATAGGTGTTTACTTGCATTTAGAGGCAGGGGTGTTTAGGGGAAAAAATGTGAACCTGAATCAAGTTCAGGAAAAAAAAAACCCCAATGCACATAAACGCATGAGCACTTATTGATTTCAATGGCGTGAATAAATTAACACTCTGGCCAATGGAATGAATAAATGCTCCATCACTTGAGCACATCTAAACATATTTGAAGAACACAGATTCAGATGTGTTTTTAACACTGCTTTTCTCCTGTCAGAAGAGACTAGTTTGCATGAGGACTAAGGCTCCGTTCACACCCACTGTAAATATAGTCACAGTAAAAGAACAGTGCTTAAACACCAATCATACATGACCAATATGTGCTACTTCTAATTAAATAAAACCACTAAAACCATTAATATCAAATAGTCCACAAATTGTAAAAACTACATAATATTCCCCAAGTCCAAATATGTGATAAATAAGTGACATTTCTCTTCCTGAAAACTTAGTGTTGGTTACATTATGCTCCTCCACCCAAAACCACACTTATCAACAATGGTGACCTCCACATTATAGGAAAGTCAAATAACCATGAAGCTATAATCCATTGAATCTCCAAAAATGATGCTCTTGTGGGATGTTCCTGGTCTGCAGTGGTCAGGACTGGGCAAAAGTGGTCCAAGAAAGGAAAACTGGCAAACTGCCGA